GAATCGAACTGAGAGAGAGAAGAGCGCACGGTCTCGCGTCGAAGCGCGCGAAAACTCTTAAGCTCTATCCCCATCCACGCGCGCGCGGCGTCCCGACGCCAAGAATAAACCCGCCGGAGCCCTCCCCACCACCGCCGTAAAAAACCACGCACACTACGCCGCTTTCCATCCCTTTTCGCCACTGTTTATTTTGCGTCGCTTTCGGCCTCGTCCGCGCCGCGACGCCGACGCCGATAAATTGGATAAACAAAATTACGTAACGTGTCTCTCTCTCTCTCTCTCTCTCTCTCTCTCGTCACACACGTTTCTCTCGTTGAATTTCCTTTTTGAACGTCGCGCGCGTGTGCGCACAGAGTCGCGCTTGTTTCGAAGAACCGAAGGGTTTTCCTCGCCGGTGGCCGAGACGCAACTTGCCTTTTTCTTCCTTTTCGCGAAACCGATCTCTCGTGCGGGACGTGTGGGAGAAATTCTCACACGCGTCCCTTTCCCTCCGCCATTTCTGCGCTGTTCCTTAAACGGCGCGCCTCGAGAGATGAAATAGACCCGTCTCGTATAAAATTAGCCGGAAGCACGGGAGATTTATTACGCTGCCGTCCGGTTTCGCGCGTCACCGATCGCAGAAGGAGTCGCTCGAAAAGTTTTTCACGGCGCGCGCGCGCGCGCGACCGTCTTTCTCTCGCACATAACTCGGCGGGTCGTTAAAGCGGGTCGTTCGCGGGGCGGCAAAGCGAGCAACGAGCGCGGTGCCTTATTTTCTGTCGCGTGGGTGCAGCCGTGTCGGCATCGGCTCGCTTCCGTCGCTTCGTCCCGATGATCCGTCACGATGGGGGGGAGTTCGTTACACCCGGCGATTCGCCGGCGGGAAAAGGCTCTCCGTGCCGGTAATGTCGCGCCCGCGACGCTACGTGGAAGAAACGCGTGCGTCCGGCTTCGCTTTCACTTGGCCGCGAGGAAACTCGCGCGGGCTCGCGCATTAAATCGTTAGACAAAGTAACGACGCTAATCGAAGACTCTCGGCCGCGTCATTTGATGCGGCAGCGCGCTCGCCGGCAGCGAGTCGTTTCTCGATGCTCGACTGCGCGGCGCGACTCTGGGACTGGAATGATTTCATTTAAGTGTGATTTAGAACGTCTGAACCCGACGAGTGGACAATTAACGGGGCGGCGGGAGAGAGAGAGAGAGAGAAAAGAAGGGCTTGGGAAATCGTGCGGAGCCGTCTATCGGGGTGCTTGAGAACGGCTTGCGAGAGAGTCGCGCGTGCGAGCGATCTCGATTCGATCCTCAGAGAATCGACTTTTTTTACACCAATCCTTTCCTACTCGATTTCTTTCGGCGGAAAATCAAGCTTCGATCCGTTCACCCGGAAAAAAAGTAATTTTAGAACAAGGAATCAGCTAAATTTCAGAGGATTTTACTCTTATATATGGCCTCAAGAGAAATCCTCTAAAATTAAGAGGAAAATATTATAAAATATTACGTTATATTTTTAAAGTTAAAGGAACTGTATTATATGTATAATATAAATCTTACTGATTTTAATCTAAATTTTCTCTTATGTACAGATTATTTAATCCTTTTTTAAGAGGATTATTATTTATTCTTACTGATTATACTGGTTAATTTGAAAAAATTATTATAATATATAGCGAAAAGTAATATATATATATAAACTTTTATGTACTTTTGGCTCCAGTTCTACGATAAGTAGGCACGAATGAAATAAGGACTTCATAACAAACAAATTTTCAATCAGTTTTGTCATGGACTTTATAGCTACAAAGATGTTCATCATAACCAATTGTATGAAATATGAAGTTAAAAGAAAGAATATATTATTCAACTTCTTGTAACAGATTATAAATTGCATTTGACCAAATATGGATAAATTATCTTCGTTATATGTTACAGCAACACACATACCTTTTTTAAAAAAACGTTCCAAATATTCTAACCCATGAGCATATTGGTTACTTTTTCGTTTATGTTTCAAGGTGAAGGATAATTCAACAAAAGAAGCGGACATTCAAATCAACATTCCTCTTCATATAAGAGGAGGATTAATTAAATAAAAGGAAACCCTCTTGAGAAATAAGAGGAAAACAGTTAGAATAATATCTAATAAATTTTAGATGAATGCTTCACTTTAATCGCTTTATCGAAAGAGGAATCCTTTTTCTGCAAAAAGGCTTCGCTTAGAATACGAGACAATGAGAAAAATCACTTTACAAATAGAATATTTCTTTTTTGGATGTTAATGTGCTTGCTTTTGTCAATGTTGCGTCGTTTAACGAAGAATTTACGTGGTATTGACATTTGAGAGAATCGAGCCGGAAAAGATCGATTCAAAGAAATCTATGTTTCGAGGGGAAGATCTGTTTGTTCTGAAAATCGGATCGAGATCGGCCATTACCGGTTCAGTGAATACTTTACGAGACGCGCGTGTGCCCCCGAGATTCTCTCTCGAGCCGCGGCGTAGGTACAGGAAACCTTGACTCGGAAATCAGCTGATGCGATTAACACGTGAACTCTGCTCTGCCTGTACGTGTGTGAGTGAGAGCGAGCAAGAGAGACAGAGCTCGATGCTCTGCTCTTCTAACGAGCGTCCAGCCGTAGAACTCGCGAATCGACCGATTCTTGCACGATCATGGCGATCATTCATAATTCTCCTCGATACCGTCGGTGGAGCTTCACCCTCCCCTCCTTCCCAAAGCTCGCTCACTTGTTCATCGCAACGACAGGTGTAACGAATTAACATCAATGGCGCGGTTGAAAATCTGTGCGTGCGCGTGAGAAAGAGAGCGAGATCGATGTTGCTCCGCTCGACCGATCGTTGCGCGACAGCTCGATGGGAGCTCTCGCGGGGTCTCGCTCGATAGATACGATAGATTTTTCGAGCAATGCGCGAGCTTTGGCCGCGAGAATCGTGGCGCTAATGTGGGAACCCACAGGCGTCGAGTTATACTCGGGAGAATGTCGATGATCGATCTCGCCCTGATCACGACGAGCAGGAGGGTGCGCGATCTCTTTCGCTCGCGGGGCTGCTCGGGTGATCGTGAGGCGGAATTGATTCCGGTTTGGTCACACCCTTCGGTCCTCGGCGCACGGGGGTGGATAGCCGGCAGATGGGTCGCCGGCGGTATTGCGGTTAAGCTACCGGCATCCAATCGGCCCAACCCATTCACCGATCTATCCGTCTCGCGGGCAGCCTCTATCTTTCTTTCCGGTCTCGCCCGCCGTCACTCTCCGTCCCGTAACGAACGGCGTCGATTTAGCATCGCGAGCGAGCAATTTGGGTCACAGCTTTATTGGAACCCACCGACCGATCGCTAACGAAACGAATTGACTCTCAGAGAGAGAGAGAGAGGGGGGGAGAGAGAGAGAGCGCTGGTCGCCCGATGTCGCCGACGCGCGTGCTTTCGGGGGAATCATGTCGATGACGCAACCGTCTCGATCCAAGCGAGAGATGATGAGCGAAACGAATCGCTCGCTGTTCACAGCTCCCCCCCGCCGCTGCTTTTTTCGCGCAGCGGTTCTCGCGGCGGCCATGTTGCAAGCGTGCGGACAGCGCGAGCCCTCCTCTCTCTCTCTCTCTCCCGATGGGGCTTGATTAATTTTAATTGCGCAAACTATTAACGCCATTAGTGTTGCTAACAGTATTAGTCTAATCTCGGGGAATGGCCGAGCCCGCGGAGAAACGGGAGAATTGTTCTTCGCGGGAATTGTGGAGGAATTATTTCCACGATTTTTTTCACCGGAGTTGAAGAATTTTCGCGATTTTACATGTTGAACTGATTAAGAGCATTCCGGCATCCGTGTACGTTTCCCACAGTTTTCTATCGAACATCCCTCCCTCCGGCGGAGTCGAACTAAAAAATGCACATCTCGCGGAGTATTTCTCGTACAAGCTGCTTTAATGATCCCAGCGAGAAGCGACGCGACGGCGGCGGCACGGCGGAGGAGGAAAGTGAAGTTGTAAATAGGTGACGGATGGGGTTGAAACGCTCTCTACTCGGAAGCGGCTAAGGCGATGGACCTTGCCCATCATCCATCGGGCCGACCTTTGATCTATTTCCAGCCGTGGAAATCGCCCCCGTCGCGATAAACCGCCATTTTCCCTCCACTTGGCAGAACGTATTTCCGGCGGCGTTAGTCAGCCGTTCTAAATGCACCACACTAACTGCCGCGTTTTCGTCTAGCCCTCGTCCTCCCCCCTCCGCCCTGAACGCCGGCCAAGTTGTATTTCTGACCAGCTCTCGCTGTCAGATCGAGGTTAATTGGGTGCCATTACGTTGAAAATTAGTACGAATTAGCCGACGACGATGAGAGCTCTCTCGCGGGGATCGCGCGGGATCGTAGATACCGCCGGATTAATCGGCGAGCTCGTGTCGCTGGACTTATCGGACGAGAGACAGATGGACACAAGCCCATTTGTAGAGGGCATGTTGTAAACAAGCGTAAATTTCACGGCAGTGATTGCCTGTTGTCCGATTGTATGCATTGTTTGAATATCCATTCGTATCAGCCTCAGCCGAGCTTTTCGGATGAATCACACGCGACGTGTGTGTGGTTGACTTTGGAATTATCCTGTTTTTTAATTTAGAAGCATTCTCGTTCATTTCCTCACATTTGTACAAGTACAGTATTTTTTATCTCCGTCCCGCGTACGCGCGTAATTATCCGTCAGCGATTTCGACGTGTCGCGGGATCGACATTGTTGCCCGATTCGATAAGGAGATGACAGTTTGGTTTAAAATAAGGACAGCTCAACATACGCATTAAAATAGTAACGCATGTCCGAATATTACGTTTGGAATAATAATAATAATAATAATAATGGGAATAATATCTCATCCGGGTCGTCCGACGCTGCGCCGCAAATGTGCGCCTCTCTACGAGGCGCACAAGTCGCTGTAAGACACGTTCAAGTTCTACTTATGCTGGTGGAGTCTCAAAAGGTAAGGAAGCTCGTGGGCTTTCATCGCGACTGGGAAAGCACTCACCGTCGTCGCTGATCTCGAGATTCGTGTAGCTGTCCCAGTGCAGGATGGGGTCGTGATGCGCCGATGCGTGTGGCACGGCGGGCGTCGGCGCCGGCACTGGGCCGTCTTGACGTTTCGCGTCGGTGGCGAAGTAGAGTGTCACCACGCTGTCGGGCGGGCACCGAGAATCGTCGCAGGCGACGTCGAGCTCCGATCGCGGGAAGGACACGACGTTCTCCGTAATTACGCAAGTGTGGAACTGCGGAAACAATAATGGTCGATGTGGGAACATCGTGCGGCGCGCGACGTAATCGCCGGCGATGCAGGCGAGGCTCGGTCTTTCGCAACGCGCTTCTTTTTTCACTTTTTTCCCTCCCCCCTCCCCACAGACATCTCGCGGCACGTTCTCGAGCACGCGTGCTACGAGACGTCATCGGGAGGGGGGGGGGTTTAATTAGAATTCCACTCGACGCATTTGATATTTAACATGGGAAAATCTGCGACTGATACCGCGCGGCTCGAGGAGTGTCGTTCCCGTCGTTGGAGAAAATCGTCATTTTAGAAATTTGTCAAGAGGAACGCGCGCGCGACTTTTCAGGCAGATCGTATCTCGCCGCGATATGCAAATGAGGGATTTTTCACGTTACCGTCGCGCGACGGGGTATGAGCAAACGTTTGCACTGTAATTTCAATCAAACCGGACAGCTGCAATCTGCGTCCGCGCAAATCTCGTTAGTCTAACGAGATAAAACCCAAAGCAGCGTACATCGCGATCGATGCGCGTTTTTAGAACGAGTTTTTACGCGTTTTCCACGGCGAGATGCGAGATAAAGTGATATCCAGCTATTAACTGATTACGACGTTACGACTCGATTCCAGGAGGATGTTGTTTGCCTAGCGGGCACGAAATTACTGCGCAAAACGCTCACTCGTGTCTTTACCGAACGCGCGGATCTAGATTGCTGTCCTTGTAACTATTTATGAAGTACTTTTGCATCGGCTGTCATTCGTGCCGCCGATTTCATGCCCTGTCACTCGCGTGCTGCAACGTATTCGTCATTACGACGCGGCGCGTCGTATACGTGCGACGAATAAGAAACGGCGATTGCGGACGCTCGCGCGCTCGGCGACGGCGAGTTTGCTCCCCGGATTTCGACGCGCAAAGTGCTTTGATTCTCGAGTCACTCAGAGACACGTCTCGCGGAGGAGACGCAGGACGTCCACAAATAACATCCTCCGGCGAAGGGAGACTCTCGCCGAATGCAGGCGAGACGCAGATTTTCTCGTCACGTGTTTCTTTTGCGTTCTCACCTGGAGGGAAAACATGACTTCACGGGTCTGCTTCGAGTACACCCTGTGGTAACACTTGACCAAGATGTCGCCCCTCAGCCGAAGCCCGCCGAGGTTAACCGTGAATTCACGCGCGTTCGTCACCGAGTACAGGTCCGACGTGTAGACTGGCGTGAGTCCTTCGTACACCTTGAGGAAGGCTCGACAGCCGGTCGGCTCGAAGAGGGGCACGCCGAGGACGGTCAGGTGGGTCAGGTACAATGGTGACTGGCTGATCCTCAGAGAGCCCGACAGTAGTCCGCTGAAGTACTCGATGTATCTGGAAGTTCCGAGAGAAAATACCGTTATTACGCGCGATCGCATCGCACCGAAATCCCCCCCCCCCGTCCCCTCTTCCGTCCGACTCTCGAGATCCGCGATTACCTCATAGCCTTGATTTTTGCTTCCGATTAGGTTAGGAGGATATCGCACAAGCGAGAGCGTTATATAATCAATGTGGCCGCCAGGACGCGAGATTATCCGCGTTTTGAGGGGCGCGAGGAGGAGACGGGACGACGGGACAAATTTCCAGCGAGTTGCAGATGCGCGCCTGGGGCGACGTGACAGGTGGAATTGATGGCTCGAGCAACGGAAGCCTTAGCCTCCGTGACACGAAAAAGGTATGCATGTCGGACGAGTCGGACAGATACGAATACGCGCGAGCAACATTCGACGCGGCCGTTGTGAGAGATCTCCCCGGCGAGAGCAGGTCGGTAATGGATTCATACGCTCGCGAGAGAGAGAGAGAGAGAGAGAAAGAGAGAGAGAGAGAGCCACGCTAACGACATGCTAATGCTCGCGGCTCGCGGAATTAATGGAGGAACTCTGGCAGGCAGGAGCGGAGATCGCGCGAGGACCCCGCGAGGAGAGGCGGCAGGACGAGTAAGAAGAGCGCGCGAGCGGCGACGCGGCTCATTACGATCATTATGAATGCGTACGGCGACGCGCGGATGACGAGGACGACGATAAGGACGATGATGACGGTAATGATACGGCGGCCGAGGTAGCATTGGGGTCGATGGCGCGTAATACGCGCGATAAACCGCCGGACAGGTCGCGTTTGTTTCGCTAAGAGGAACCGGTCGAGCGATTCGCGAACGATAAATCGACGGACGGAGGGGAGCAAGTACGAAAACACGATGGTCGAAGGGTGATTATTAAATCGTCGCGATCGGAATTGGGGGCCTCCGAAAAAATACGGCGCGATTACTCGAATGGCCCCGCTGATAATTTATGCCCGGACGCGCATTCGACTCTGCGAATAATTATGCGATGTACAGGGTGGGGCAGTTAAAACAAGTCACCCGAGTAACTTTGGAAATATACAAGATGGGACAAAATGTTAAATACAGAAGTTGTGGAGCTTTGAGTGAAGGAGAGAGAGAGAGAGAGAGAGAGACCTTGAGCAGCGTCACCAAGGTTACGGGAAGGTCACCTTGAATTTTTTAATTGGAAACTCCCATTTTTTTGTATTATCTTTTTCTATCAATTAATTTTAACAGCTTTCGTCTGAAACATTTTTTATTCGTTTAATATTTTTCTCAGATATTTAAGGAAAATTTGATAACTCTTTCTAAATATTTCTAAATATTTGGCTTACGATATCTCAGTAACTATTTGTTGGAAAAAAAGTTGTACTAGAGACTTTTTTTACTCTATTTAGCCTCAAGAATATGTTATTACAGTAGTGTCCCAACTTTTATTAACTTGATAATGATTGGAAATTTCAAAATCGTCGTCTTTCTGTACAATTTTCGTATTTAACATTTTTTTCTATTTTCCATTATTTCAAAGTTATTCAGATGGTCTGCTTTAGGTGGCTCACCCTATATACATGTTTTACCTATATTTAAGTTTTATCGACAAACTTACAGGACAGATTCTAGTTGAAGAATAAAAAAGTGTCTTGGCACAAACGGATGTCGACGAAAACTCGGTTTTTGAGATATAATCTTTGGAAGGTGATGACAATGAAAGAAAATGTGTCGCGATAAGCGGGTTGCGAATGCTACTGCAGCACGTTTTGTTTTTGAAAATAATACCTGTCAATTTCTCAATCATTTTTAAACATTAACCAAAGGATCGCTCATTGCGACGTTGATACATTGTTACCGTTTGTCGCGGGTAAAATTAAAGAAACATATTATAGCTTACACCATTGAAGAGCTTGCAGAAAATTGGGACAATTTTTACAACAATATGTGTCTGGTCGTTTGCTTGTAAACACGATTTAATGAATGAAATATATTTTTTTCAAAACTGAGATTGCAGCTGAGAACTGCATCTCGGAAATTCTTCTTATTATTATTGTAAGAATTTATTATAGGAATTTGTTACTATACCTTCGTTCGTGATAATAAATGATGTGAAATAAATGATATTCAAAATATAAGCATAATAATTTTTTACACTAACAATATTAGATTCTTCTCTTGATAATATTTTTCCTTCATTCGGAAAAAAGGACGATCGATGTCGAACGAATGAGAATGAGATGAAAAGAATCTCAGCCGCGTGTAAATTCGCGTCTCCTCACGGTCGTTACATAAATACGCGCACGACGACAACGATGAGGTAAACGATAAGATCGCCGATGATGATAATGATGATGGGGACTTTCTATCTTTAGATCAATGGCTCGTAGTACACGCGTACACGAACCGATCAACAAGAACAACAAGAACGCCGAGTGCGCAACACGACCGATCGTTTTATTTTGTTGATGCCATCTCCGATGCACGGGCGATCCTGCGCTCGCGAGTAAACGGCGCAATCACGGAAGGTGAAGGAAGAAATTATAAAGTTGCGCGTGAAAAAGGCGATGATGCTAGGTTATTTCAAAGGATCCCGCGGAATCCCGAATAAAATTGCGGAATTCATCAAGATCGGGTGGGAGCGATCGGATGGGTATCGATATGATTAATAGCGGTAAAAGAACACGAAGGATGCTGCTGCGGGGAACGGGCGAGGGTGATTGAAGATGACGACGACTTGACATTTCAGGCGGACGGAATAGCGCGTAGAACGGATAACATGCAAAATGACGGGAATGACTACTCAAGGACGCGAGGTGTCCTTCTTAATGGGATCGATACGGTAATAAACGCGCGGCGGTTACACGCGCGCGCTTCTTCTTCCTGTGGCATAAATTTGAAGACGCTAAATGGCTTCCGCTATAAATGTCACGCTCGTTGTCGATACGATCGCTCCTTCGTGCGAAACGATCGAGTAAATCGCCGGCGTTTTATCGAGCTTGAAATTAAGCGACAGTTTTCGAAGAAAGACGTTAAGCCGGGAGCGCAGATTTTTATCTCCGGGGTGAAGACGCGCGCGCGCGCGCGCGATGACGAGAAACTCCGTTAAATACGTGACTACGTTATTGTGAATGCCATCCCCGAGTTTCGAGACGGACAAGAACATTACTTAGAGAATAATCTCAACGAGGAAAGAAGGGAAATGCAAATTTGCCAGGCAAGTACAGTCGCCAGTACCGCCGACTCGCAGTCGCGGCCGAAGATTGAACGGCAAGGCGAAGAGAAAGACAGGACGAAGTTTACGAGAATCCCGGCACAATCGCGCCCGACCGAATATGGAATACCGTAAAATAGGCTTACGAGGGGCGAGCCTTCGCCGACGCGGTCGGTTGCTCGCCGTTAAAGCTGCCGCGACGAGCGGAAATTAAAATAAATCGCGCTCTACGCTCCGCGAACGCGAGCGCGAGCGCAGAGCGGAGCGGGGAGTAATAAAGTTATGAACTCTTGGCGATACGCGGAGTACGGCGGGCGCGGATGAGCGATTCCGGCCGAAGTTATCGGAATTATTCGCGAGGACGGCCGCGATAGCGGAGCGAGTTTTATGCTCGCTCGCGCTCGCGCTCTCTCATTACCTTCGATGCGACGGAACCTGCAGCGATCCAATCTTGTCGTCGAGGAATCTCCTCATGGCGAACCTGTCCAGCGCCTGATCGCGTCCCCCGCAGATGCTGCTGTAGTTCATGTAAGCGGACACCGCCACACCCAGCCGCTCCTTGCTGCCCCTGAAGAGTGCCGGTGACGTTAATTCGGTCCACCAGCGAGCTCGCGCTCGCGCTCGCGCCTTTTCCGCGCGGAGCGGCCGCTTTACGAACAAAAAAGAAAAAACGATCTCGCCCCCGGCCGATCCGATCCCGCGCGCTCTAATGACGTTATTATTCGCTCGATCAATGGAAATCACTAACAGCGCTTGCGGGAGAGTCTCGAGGGGGCGGTGCGTACACCGCGGCGAAATTACGGCTTTTACGAGCCGAGCGTTTAAGCATCGGCCGCTGGCCGGAGAAACTGGGTCACATTGTATTAATACGCGTGCGGAGACAGAGCTCGGGCTTGACATGATGTTTCTTTCGAGACGCTGTTTCTTTTCCTCGAGAAGGGGGTCGTTTGCTCCCTCCTGCTGCTCCCTCTCCCCACGACTCGGAATCGTCTCGGAATCGTCATACAATTCTCGCTCTCGCAGGCGAGCGAGAGCGAAAATCAATCGATCGAGCTTGACAATCTGAGGGACGATTCGACGTCGTCGCTGGAGAAGAGCGAGAGTGACGGAACAACGTGACTCACCTGGTGTGGAGGACGACGACGCGATTCGAAGCGCCGTTCAGCCAGGAATCCAGCTCCTTGCACAGGGCGCACAGTCTTTCCAAGCTCGGCGCTAATCCCTGCGGCCATCCAGCCTCCCTCGTGTTCGGCTCGCCCGGTCGGCCGGGCGACGACAAATTAAAGATCTGGAAGCCCAACATGTACGACATTTGCAGCAGATTGCCGAGCTTTTCGGAGAGTAGCTACGAGATTCATTCTGAACTTGTGAATTTCCCAAGGAGCCTCACGATCGTCTACTAGGAATCTCGGGAATTACTCAGCTGCGGAATCGTCCGCGCGAGCTAACGAGTAAACAACCTCGGGGAACATCAGACGCCGATTTGTTTCCAATTTTTTTAAAGTTGTCTTTTATGTCAAAATATGAAGGAATCTGTTATCACATTTTTGGCTTAAAATTAATTTTTTCCATTTCTTCGAAATTTTTCAAGTTTTGCACAAGTACACTATTTTACACATATTTGAGACAATACTTCTTAAAAATATATATATATCTGATTTGGTTGAAACTTGCACACACATGTCGCCGATTACGCATCAGGACCATTTTGTAAAATTCAAAATGGCGGGTCTAAACAATGACGGACGTCATTGTTGAAAAATCCAGCAAACAAGCTCGTTTTAACGTCAAAATCCGGTAAAAAATGACCAAGAAATGAACAAAAAACTTTCAGAAATTTCGAAGAAATTGAACAAATTAATTCGAGCTAAAAATGATAACAGATTTCTTTATATTTCGACATAGAAAATAACTATAAAAAATTGGAAACAAATCGGCGTCGGACGTTCCCCCCCCCCTCCGCTCCCCCCCCGAGGGGACTTTACTTGTAAGAGGAGTGCCGGGCGAGTGTGTACTTACGATGTGTGTTTACGATCGCGCAATTATCCAGGCTGTAATTTGCTCATTTCTAATGCTTCGCGCTGCTCTGCCTTCTCTTCGTTCCGGCGGAAAGGGGATACGGAAATTATCGGGTCTCTCTCTCTCTCTTTCTTACCATGTAATTGTCGGCGTGTTTCCCGCGCAGGAGAGTCGTGGCGTGCTCGAGGACACCCTGCGCATCCTCCCTGTACCAGAGAGCGATGATCCTCTCGGTGACGTAACAGAGCTCCATCACCTCCGTCACGCGACCTCCGCCCTTTCCCGGCCCCGTCATCGTCGAATCCGCGCCGACGCCCGGCGTCCTCGCAGGCGTTGACGCCAGCGCTGACGTCTGCACCTGCAATCCGACGGTTTTGCTCGAGTTAGGTGAGAGAGGAAGCGAACGAGTCGTGGCATTTTTCATTCGCGGCTATTGCGAGCTATCGGGAACGATGCCGAGAGATAACGCGAGTTTACGATGACGCGTGTGTCATCAGAGCCGTTCATTTGTCTGTCATGCGGCTATTCCGGCGAGTCCGCGAGTTGCGACGCGACGCCGAACAATCGCATCAGGTGGTATCAATTTCCACCACGAGGCAATTCCCCCGAAGAATCGCATTCCCCGGCGCTTCGCCGCTGCACACGAAATAAAAGGCGGGCTTTATTCCCAGGTTTACTTCTCCAGCGCGGAGACGAAGCTACGTCACACTCTTGGCAAATTCGATTGTCCAGATTCGTTTCGTTGCGAGGAAAGTTCCGTCTCAAGCTCCACTCTCGATCCTGTCCCGGGGGGGGACACCTATCCGCAAGATTTGTCCCCGACCGTCGCAGAGCCCGGCTTGTCGTTTTGCCGCGACAAAACAAGGTCGCACGGCGGACAATCAAATCTTCCCCGCGGAGGAAACTAGAACTCATTTCTCTTAGCTCCGCTGCTTACAAAATCCCTCCGTCTCCCGCCGTTTTCCCCGCGCGTGATAGCTTCGACACACGCGACCCACGCGAGAAGATCGCGCTCGAGATACGCAATAACGGCGAACACGTCCCGGGGACAAAAATGATGCGACACCGAGAGAGAAATGTCCGTCTCAAAAGACACGTCGAATACGTCGCGCTCATACGCGACATGGCGGCGAAGCGCCATGTTTGCTCAATCGTTGCTTCGAGCGTCTCCCGACGATCGAGCGGATTCGCCACTTCAATCGCGCGGCACCACTCGTCGACACAGCTTGAGCAGCTTGAGCAAATCCGCGAGGAGGAAGAACAATTCACAACGCGCGCGCATCAGCAATCATCCACCTTGGAGTACTTGGGCGCGTAGACGATCCTGACGACGACGTTCATCCGCGACATGGCGGCGCCCTGCGAACCGGAGGACCCGCTATCGCGGGACAGATCGACATGTAATCCTGGCGCCTTAACGGGTTAGGCCGCGGGCTGCTGATCCCGCCGCGGGAGACGGGACGCGCGAGGATACGTCCTCAGGCTGATGCTCCTCGCCGTGCTCCTCGCCACGGAGCGATACACTGCCGGGTATTGTGTTTCGCCTGGTTCTGCCGGAGATACGCGAGAATATCCAGTGGCTGGTCGGCGGTTTTGTCAGATAATCGCGCCTCCTTCTGCCCGCGTATGTCTGACGTGTGCCAGCTCGCGCGGCTCCAGGGCCGGCTCGTGGGATTCGCTTCGCGACAATTTCTTCGCCAGCTGGATTCTCGATTCCGACCGAAGGCAAGACGGTCACGTCGTTAGCTCGCCCTGCCGAATTCGAGACGCGATTCTCCCCAGCACGGTTCGAGCTCGTGCGAGTGTTTGATCTTATTGAAAAACATTTTATTAAATTTTATTTATCTTATTAATTTATTAAATTTTACTATTTTATCAAATCTTATTATTTTATTAAATTTTATTTATCTTATTAAAAAACACAACCACACTTGCGATACTAATTTTCTAGGTGTTTTTTTCTTCACTATCAATAGTGACGGCATTGATAAAACAGATTCTCGCACTTTGTTATAAACAATAAAAGTTAGCCTTGCTTTCAGGTAGCTTTCAGGGGTTAATATCGATAAAGGAAGCGCCTTCTCTCTCGCCCTACCCTCCCTTCTTCCTCGACGCGTGTCGCACCTCGAGAGTTGGTCAGACGATCTCCTCTCGATTCCGTCAGCGGAGCCTCCTCACCTAACCACGAGTGATCCCACGGAGGCTGAAGAGGAGGCTGATGGCTCTCGTTAACCTCCATCGGTCGCGAGTCTCTCGATCGCTCCTCGCCGCGCCGAGGCGAGCGGCCCTGGACGTGGATGAGAGAGCGCGCTCGCGCGTGGACGCGTGATGTAACGAATTCGTGCAGGTAGCGTGACTTTGGTGGGAATCGAAGTCACGCTGTTTGCACCGGCGCGGCGCGGCGCGGGCGATCCGCGCGCGGAGCGGATGATTTGTCGCGCGAGGAACGCGCGAGAGAGTTACACGGAGGCGGACGCGCGCGCGAACGAGCCGGATGTACCTGCGAAGTTTTTGCAAGCGAACGAGCGAGCGCTTGCGGTTTTCTCGCCGCGCCGGCCGGTTAGCGGCCGACGGTCATTTATCGGGGCGCGGCGCTATCGCGCGCGCCGTCGAGGTGGCCCTTACGCCATTATTGATGGCACTTGTTGAAATGATTCGCGTGATTTACGCGGGATTACAGCCGCGCGCGCGTTGTTTGTTATCTGCTCCAGCCACTCATCTACGGCGGGCGTCCGCCGGCCCTCCCCGCCGCCGAGGGGTTTTATCCGAATTGTGGATGTTCCGGCGTTCTCAACAGACGCGGTGTAATCTGTAAGGCCGACAGCTTAGCTTTCCTGAGACTAATGTGCGCATCGTCTCCGACTGTATTCAACGACTCCCTCTTTCGGGCCCTTTCAGCTCGCCGGCTCGCCGAGGTGTGCTGTCTTTGTACGTCGGACTACGCTTTTACGAGTAATCGCGGCGTTAGAGCGCCTCGGGCGCACTCGCACTCGTCGCGTTACCGTAATCCGTCGGTATTCGTTTCCGCCGATTGTCTCGCACTACGCCGAAGGAAAAGATTACGCGAGGAAGCACAAAGGAAACGATCAATATACGATACTCGTGGGTGGATCGAGATAGCAGGGAATTTTCCAGACGACTATAACAAGAGACAAGGATAAAAATAAACGGGAGTAAAGAGGAGTAATAAGAAATATACAGAGATTACACTAGGAGAAATGTATTGTTGCGTGAACCAAAATTTTGTTGTAACAACAAAATAATTTGGTTAAAATATGCCCGACGAAACTGTTTAGTTCCTGTAAACAAATATCTCGTTCGATCTTACGGTTTGTTCGCATAACGTAATACTTTTGTTATAGCAATCAAAAAGCTTAATGACTATATCAATTTTGTTAAAAATACTATAACTTTTTCTTAATATATAAAATCTAAATTTTAGTGCACAGAAAGACAAATTAGTATCCGTTGGGCATTATTTTAGTTTATGTAAAATAATACTTCGTTATTATGTAATTTTTATGGATAAAGTAACTAAAATGCTTAAGTTTTATATATGTAGTCGAAGAACAAAATCATTTGGTCCAGAGAGAACGAAGCAGAAAAATATATTTAGTTGAGACAACTAAATATTTTGTTATATAAAACAAGATATTTGGTTGCTATTACAAAATGCCTCAACTAAACAGTTTTGTTAGAGATGCTAAATTTTTTCTCCTAGTGTAGCGTCACACACACACACACACACAGAGAGAGAGAGAGAGAGAGAGAGAGAGAGAGAGAGGGGGGGGAGGGGAGAGAGAGAGAGAGGCTCTCGCGTCCGCCCGTGACGGCGAAGCGGAAACGTGAAATCTCCAAAGGGCGAACTCGCCCGACGCGCGCGTTGGATTGTTCTTCCTGAAATAAAGTTCACAGATCGATCCGAAATAAACGGCTGGAAGGCGAAGGTGCGCGCGGCGACGGAAAGGTGAGGAACGAGGGAGCATTCGTAACCGAGTTCCAGAAATATACGACGCGGCCAACAATGAAGGTGTCGCGTCGCGGAAAAGAGAGCGGAGCGAGCGGGGCGAGAAAACAAGAGCGAGAGCCGGGCACCTCTAAAAATACTCGGCTTTATGAGATCGTAACGCCGCGGGTTCGTTTCTCGCGGACCTCGCAGCCAGGCCTACCCGCCCATAAATCCCTTCGGCCGTTAGGCTCACGTGTGAAATTGCTATTACGTAGCGCGGTCCCGCCGCAGCTGTCGCTACGCGGAAACCGCCCGTGTCCACCTTCGGTTCCTTTCTCCGTCCGATCGCAAAATCGCTCGAGACCGCGGCCAGCAGTGCGCGACGGGCCTGACGAATCGGACGATTCGTCGCGAATTCGCGGCGAAAATGAGTCGCCGCGGCTTGTCGCAAGTGAGGGATGGAGGGTGTATCGAGACAAACTTACGGGACCCGGAGGATTCTGTGTTGAGAAGGAAGGGAAACGTCTTGGTGGATTTGTGTCCGCGGAAGTTTCTCAAGTAACCACCTTCGGGAGACGGCGACGGTGAGAGGAAATGTGTCGCGATAAGCGGATCAAGAATGTGGATACATCTTTCACCTGCTTTCGACGACGATATCTATGAAGAAGTGATAATTTCTGGATATTAAGTCGTTCGTTGCAACGCCGATATATGATGACGTTACTGCGTTTGTCACGCGAGTGAAATTAAACAACAAATGCATTATTTCGCCCCGACATCGTGGATGACGGAAGGAACTTGCAGATGTGTGTTTGGGACAAATTTTATATGTCTAGTCGCTTATTTGCAAAACACCTGATTTAACGTGCTTTCTGAGACTGAGATTGCAGCAGTTGTACCTCGGAAATTTACGAAAACATTTTCACTCGTTTTTTTTTTTTTCTTTACGTAGAATTTGTCCTGCGAATTTATCGGTGAGGAGTTCAGATGTCATCCTGTGTACAGGGTGTAATATAATTTAGAAATTTAATAATAATGCAATTTCAAGAATATAATTTAACAATGTAATTGAAAGTTTAATTTACGTAACGCGCTTTCGGGCGCTCGGCTTCTTCGGGCACCTCGATCTGTCGCAGAGTCTCAGATTCGAAGGATTTCAGGATCCTCGCGGAGGTGCCTGCGAGAGCGAGGTTAGGTCCGGCGACGCGCGCACTTAAAAATGAAAGCGAAACGGTCGCTCGTGCGGTTAATCCAGCGCGATTATCGGGCCGAGAAGTCGACGCGCGCGGCAAGCCGCGTCGACTAAAATGTCAATTACCGTTAATCCACATAATTGCTCGCGCTTAATTTCCAATTGGGAGTATGGCGCTCTCCGTGCGAGTGGCTTTAATCTTCATCGATCGCGTTTGAAGGCTGATGACGGTAACATTGTTGCGTCGGCCCGTTTTTCGGCGCGGTTGCAGTCGCGAGCGAATTGTCGCCGCCGTGAATTCACGATGAGCGGGAAAACCGACGCGAGGCGAATGAGAACTTCCCGAGGAGGGAAACATCTTACGTTATTCGGCTCTCCCACTCATCCTCTTCATTCCAGCGAGAAAGAAGATGCCGTCAGATTGCGCGCTTGTCTAAAAGCATGTCTCTCTCTCTCTCTCTCTCTCTCTCTCTCTCACTCGCGCAACGAAACATTGAGAGAATATGCTCAGCGGAAGTCCTCGGGAAACAAGAACGGACAACGACGACGACAGTTTCCAGCGTAAGCGCGCGCGCGCGCGCGCGCGATCCTCGCCATTCCGCGTAATTATCCCGTCGCGTCTCAGCGCCGCCGCCGTTCCTCCGCGATGCAATCGCCAGCGATACTCCCCGAGACGGAGCGGCGTAATTAATTTACGTTATCCAGCGAACGGGGATACCAACCGCGTCGCGATCGCTTCCCGTCTGCGCGAGAGCGTCGCTATCGATCGCCGATCCGAGAGAGTGTCGCCGGCGGAGGGGAACCGCCCGCGAGACTCGGCAATTCGTCAAGCGCGTCAAGCTCGCTCGGACGAGCAGCGCGTTCGCATTCTCGCGCGCGAGAGGAGCAAGTGAGTCGCCCTCGGAATTTCGCGGACGCGTCGCGACCGACAGACCGCCGCCGTGGTCGATCCGATAACGCAGCGCGTCGCCTCGTTATTAGCGTCTCGGCCGACGAGGCCCGGAGGAACGGTCCTCCTCCGCGAGGGCCTCGCGGGGTCCGCGAGGGACTTTTCGAGACAGATAGCTATCTCTCCGCGCGCTTGTCGCGCGGATTGATTTACGGGGGGGGGAGCCTGGCGGCGCAGCCCGACTGATAGTGGATATCGGGCCGGGCGGGGGTGGGGAGAGGGGAGATACCGGTCGCGGGAGCGGTGGACGAGAGTAATTAGCGCGCTGATTACCGGTCGGATATTAGTATTCCCGCGCAGCCGTACGCTAATAGAAAGTTATTCCGTCGACGTAGTAAGTGGCGGTTTGTGTAACGCGTGTCTCATTCTGATCCGCACGATTGCGGCCCGCGCGGACCAACCGCGGCCGCTTTAATGCGCGCGCGCGCCTCTCTCCCCTCGCCCCGCCTCGTCCCGCACGCCGCGGATTAAATCGCCGATACAATCGCGGCGCGCTCATTTGCAGAAATCCACGCGGCCGCGTGGAAACGCGGAATTGCGGTCGAGCCCTCACCGACCCGGCGCTAATTATTTTAATGTCACAGCGGCGCGGGGGGGGGTGGGCGGGCGGGAGAGCGAGCGACCGCGGATAACGAGCCGGCTCGCGACGTGGAGTTTCCGGTGTGCAAAAAATAAGAAAGGGAAAACAGGAGTGGGGAAGAAGGGGCAGGGGAGAGGAGAGCCCAGGGCAAAAAGAGCGGAGGGACGGAGCGATACAAAGAGGAGACGGAGCTACGCACAAAGAGAGCATTTCCATTTGAATGCCGGGGAAGAGCGCTCGGCCGTTTCGAAATGGTCGCGCACGTGTCCTCCGGTTTCTGCACTTCGGAAGCGGCTGCTCGGGTCGAACGAGCGAACGATGAGACATCGGGAATAATTTCGCGGACGCCGTTCGAGACGTTGCCCGACGGGGAAAGAGCAGCTCCGAACGAAAGCGCCGACTCCTCCGCCCTCCCTCTCTCTCTCTCTCTCTCTCTCTCTCTCGCTCTTGAGATATAAATAAATGATGGACAAAGGTCCATTTTCTCCGGCTGTGTGTGTAACAAGTCGTTTGCACGCGCAGAGATTTTATCAATATTAAATGTTTGGAGAGGCGATCGCGAGAGAGCTTTCGTCGAAGCCGGTCGACCGCGCGGCGAGATATTGAGCAGCTTTGAGCAGCTCGTGAGAAGAAAGCTCCCTCCCAGGAGTTTATTCGTCGAGCGGTGTAATCTCGGGGGTTGCAATCCCCCATCGATTTTCGATCGAGCTTGTTGTCGCATGGGTGTGAATAAAAGTGAAATGTAATTAGATTTTACCTGTGTTATTATGTATTCGCGAAATTTTCGTGAGTTTTATTTGAGGGAGAGAGGAAGAATCTTCTTTGAGGGGCTGCTCGCTCATTCGTCGAGCGGTGTAATCTCGGGGGTTGCAACCCCCCCTATCGATTTTCGATCGGCTTTATTACCATGTGCGGCGATAAAAATGAAGTGTGACAAAGTTTCACTCGCGTTACTGTGTAATCGCGAAATTGTCGCAAGTTTTATTCGAGGGAAGGAAGAAAAGCGCAAAAGTAAGTATCGAAATTTAACGCAAACGCTTACCGGTTGCTGCTTGCTCCTGGCGATGTTGTTAACATTTTTCGGCTGCGTCTCGTAACCGCCATTGTGCTGCAACGAAAGGCAGAAAACAATCAGTCCACATGCGAACGATATGCAAGAATAAATTACATAAATCTTATAATTTACGTTAATCGCGAATAACAGGCAGCAGATTCTCCGGGTGATTTATTACAAGATGTCGACACGTACAAAAGTCAAATTAACGGTGAAAGTTTGGCAATTATCTCCATTGTGTCGATAAGAAGAAGCCGATTATTTAGAGAAATTATATCGTCACGACGTCTCTCTCTCTCTCTCTCTCTCTCTCTCTCTCTCTCTCTCTCTCTCTATTATCGTGCTTCTGCGCTTGCACGAAGTAGCCAATGATCGTCTTATTAACTTTCTATCCGGTGTGCAGAAAACACCGTTACTCTCTTGGCGGCTCTTGGGCGTTGTCCCAGAAGCGGTAGGTGGCATTATTGTTCATTGTTTCGGAATTAATGATACACGCCGCAAGTTGTTTCTATTGTTACTCCGAAGAAAACTTGCGCAACGGCAGGTGCCGCGCGACTGGACGCGATATTCCGATACTTGCCTTAAAAGAGACGAAAAAAAAAGGAGAGAAAGACACACACACACACACACACACACACACAAGCGAGTCGCACCGTCGGCATCGATGCAAACCACGCAAAGCCTATTAAATGTTTTATATATCGAACGGCCGTGCTACATAGAGACGTACATTGTGCATGCACACGCGTGCGCTTGCTTACTTGCTTGCTTTCAGGAAGGCGAGTAAACCTGTCGAGATTTAAAGAGACACGACTGTTCTACCGCGACGCGGCCTCACGAGGAGAAACTAAAATCGAAGGCTCGCTCGATTTCACCGAGACTCTCATATTTCTAGGATTCCGATTGACATCGCTCGACAGAAGCAGAAATAGCAGGCGACGCGCGTTCCGCAAGGGCGGATCGGCCGGTTAGTTTTCAGCCGGGGGGGGGTGGGGGGAGGAGGGGGGGGAGAATTCACGCCGCGCCGGAAAAACGAGCCGGAGAGATCGATCCCGATCGATTCGTCTCTCGCGGACGTGTCAGGCGCATTACGCACATTACAGACGCACGCGCGACTCGCACGCACCTCGCTCTCGATATGGAGGGCAGTGTGCCAGACGGTAAAGGCGATGCGGTGCAGAAGCGTCTCCGTCTCCTCCCGCAACGGCGTGTCGTCCTTCAAATTGTTGTTGTTCGCGCTGTCCTGCCGAGTGTCGCCGCAGCGGCAGCAATTCGCCCGCAGCCAAGCGCGCGACAGCGAGCTGCTGTTCGAGCTCGTCATCGAAGCGCGCGCGCGCGAGCTCGTGGATCCTCTGCAGGATCCTCTCGCTACTTCCGCGTGTTATCGCCTTCAGCCGATCGGCGGAATCTGCGGAGTCGCGGCGCGGCCAACATCCCCGACGGGTCGAGCGGTCGACGGCGAATCATCGGCGAATCAGCGGGCTATCTTCGCGTTGATCTTCTTCTCGCGATATCTTTCACTTTATCCAGCCGGCGATCTTCCCCCGAGCCCCCGAGCGAGCGAGCGAGGTAGCCGAGCGCGCGCTGCCGAGTCCGCAGCGCGGTCGCGCGACGTCTGGCGCGAGGAGGTCGTAAATCGTGCCCCACGAAACGGCGTCGCCGGAGGTTCGTGAAAAGGGAGACGGGCTTCAATGAAAGCCGGCGCGCCGTTTGTTATTGCAGGCTCCCGTCTGTGTACGTGCGTGTGCGCGTGTGATTTCTAATCTTAATTGCCGGCGATGGAGGATTCCAGGCATCCGTGGTGGCCACGTGTCGTTGCCGAGGCGGCGGCGGCGGCGGCGGCGGCGGCAGCGGCGCGCGCCACGCTCGCTCGGCAACGACCACCGCCGTCTCTTCGTCCTGTTCCTTTTTCCCAGCGAGAGCGTCTCCGTGTGTGTTGCCGATAATGCGTCTCACCCGGAACCTCGCGGATCATCGGTGCGCCGCGGCAGGATCAACAACGTCGCGACAACGGAATCCCTGCCGGCAGCGCGGGCCGAAACGCCGGCTCTTGTTACGTCGAGATCAGGTGGCACAAGTTTGTCGTTATCGAACTTTTGTCGCTATTTCCGCAGTTTCGTACTTTGCATTGTATACGCTTCGTGTACGTGCCGCGTGTGTGTGTGTGTGTGTGTGTGTGTGTACGCGCCGGCCAGGTGAGATCTTCGGCGTCCCCACGTACGGATTGTTCTTAATGCAGCGACGAAGTTTGTTGCGTTGCATTGAGCTTCGAAAAGTTTCCGGGAGATTTCTTACCGTGACTTTCTCTCTCTCTCTCTCTCTCTCTCTCTCTCTCTCTCTCTCTCTCTCTCTCTCCCCTTTTCGTACAAGATTAACAGCGATATATAACAAATATATACGTATGTGTATTAGCGACTGCTTCGATCCGCCGACATTTCGTTAAGTTACGTCACGACGTTAGCGTGGAACACGCCTTTTTGCTCCTCGCGCGTTCGACCTGGAGCTTCCGCTTGCCGGCGGCATCGCCACTCTCCTCGGCAAACATTCGCATATTGCACGTCGTGCCTTCTTCCCTCTCTCGCTCTCTCCCTTCTCGCGAATTTTATCACACCTCTATCTCTCACAATATTCCGTACTCGAATCGCTTATCGGCGCGATACGCGAACAAACAGAAACCGTGAAACGCACTTGCCCCGCCGCCGCCACCGACGACGACGACGACGACGACGACGACGATGACGACGACGACGACGACGACGACGACGACGACGTGTCGCAGATAACCTTCAGAGCGCCGCACGCAAGCACGCCGCATCATCAGCTCCCGCGATCCCACCCTCTCGAGCGCCAATCAATCCACCTGCCCGCGGCCCCGGCTTGCAGGTGCGCGCTCAAGGTCACTCGTGTTTCAAGGTGTAACGCACCCTCTCCCGCAGTCACGCTCGATTCGTCGAGCCTACCTCACAAGCGAGCCACTCGACTCGCGACTCGACCCGACCGGAGCTCTCGCTCGCGGCTCCTCGCGCGTCCTCCCGACGGCGCTAATCGGCGTCGAGAGGCGCGATGGGACCGACGCGTCTATTAAAAACTCGAGATCGGGAGACAGGAGTTCACGCGGCAGAGCGGGATCGCGCGACCTGGGTCAACCGGGACGGACGTCTGCGCCGCACGGGAGCCGCCCCGGCGCTGCGAGTACAGAGGGTTGAAGGCCTGCATCTCTCTCTCTCTCTCTCTCTCTCTCTCTCTCTCTCTCTCTCTCTCTCTCTCTCTCTCTCTCTCCCCCGGCGGCCGGTCCGGGGGGGATGGTCCACGGCGGGGTGGCACGGGGCGAGCGAGAGCGAGAGCGAGAGAGAGAGAGAGAGAGAGCACGTAACCATGGCGACCGTAGACGGCGTTACGGCGTTACACGCAGGCCCGATCCTGCGCCGCGCCAGCGGGATCCTCCGCGAGAACGTGGCGCGAGGGTATCCGCGGTGAGCCGCGCAAGCCGGCAAGGATATATATAAGGACAGTGCCTTCGAGTTTCGCCGCTCAAGCGCCACTCCCTTGAAATATAATTAGGCCACGCAGCCGTGCGCGGGATTTATCTCGGCAGGCGGTTCCTCCTCGAAATTCGCCCTCCTCGCTCCTCGGCCGAGGGAGAAAAAGGCTGGCTGCGGGTCGGCTGGACGTTCAAGCGAGACTTTGATGATGCGGGCCGCGACGTTTGCCCTTTGGCGTTTCGATCCCTTGTCCCTTCGTTCGCACACCCTAACGCCCGTCGCTGTGATGTGCCGATGATGACTGCGCGAAGACGAGCTTTACGAATAATTCATCCGGTTTCTTTGTCTCAGCGCAAATAAGCGGCTGAGACTCCCGCCGCGCAGGCTGCGAGAGAAATGCCTTTCGGTTCTTTTGTATCCTTTGTTTTACTCCATTTTATTTATTTCCATTTCCTTCCCCTGTTTTCGTCTCATTTATTCTCGTGAAGAAGCGTTTTCTTCCGATGAAGCGAAGACAATGTGAATAAAATGGAATAAAGCGAGAATGCACGGAGGGAGCTGACGCTCTTGTTTCTCACTGTACACCTCGCAGGGCAATTTACCGTCGTTATTTTAATTGAGGAGAAGCGAAAGAAAGTGCCTTGCGCTCGGTCTGCTCGGGGCTTCCCTCTCTATCTCTCGAAAACGACGCGTTCGTTACGTTATTTCGCGTTTCCGCTTCAGCGCGCGGTGGCATCGCCAATAAGGAAAAGTACCATCGAGTGTGTGGGTCGCGCGCGCGCGCGCGCGCGCGAGTGCGCCACTCCCTAGGAATACAATTAGGCCACGTCGTGATATACACGCAATTTCTCCAATGACATTTACTTTGCATATACATCTAAATTTGGCGAGTAACGCGAGCGAGCGAGCGAGCGAGCGAGCGAGCAAGAGCGCGCTTCAACTCGCTAATTCGCAGCCGACGCAGGCGACGAGAGAATGAAATTTGCGCCGTGCGGTGCTTAATGCGATTCTTGTCCCGCGATTTTTACGTCGGGCCACGAGATAACCTTGCGAGAGCGTATCGTGACACGCGCGGAATAATTCCGCATAGTTGACACGCCGCACCCACCCGATCTAATTGGGTCAAGCTTTTACGTTAAAGTTGTAATAGCGTGCAGGGAACCGATTTCGACGACGACATCTGACGCGCGTGCGCCCCTTCTCCTCCCATCTCTCTCTCTCTCCCTCTCTCTCTCTCTCTCTCTCTCTCTCTCTCTCTCTACACGACTGCTACACTTAATGTCCAACTCGTTTGCGGACCTTGACAGAAATTACATAGTTAATTAGCGCTCGCAAGTTGGGTCACGTGTTGACTTTCCTATTCGCCGTCTGGTCGTGGATACTCGAGAAGTGGAAATATTCCGTCCCCTCCTATAAACTACGACAGGAGTAATTATTTTTTCAAATTTTTGTCATATAGGAAACTGCCGTTGAATATGCAACAAGTCGATATGGGTTTTTATCGGGGCTGTAGCGCGCGACTGCCATGCCGGATTGAAACGTTGAATTTTAAATTTCGCCTCGCGATAATTT